CAGCCTGGAAGACCCACACCAGCCATCATATGCCGGCCGTGAAAGCCTTCGACAATACATTAATCTGTTGAATCTAAAACTTCACTAAATGGTTGGACTTACAATAAATTAGCCAGCCTGGGGTTCATCAACAGATAAGACAATGATAAGTGTAAATGTACCTAACACTTCCTGCTAAAGCAAAGAGTGTTACTTTTCAAAAGAAACCAGTAAATTAAAATCTATAATCTATCTACAGTATAGGACATAAGACATTGAAAAAACAAAACTTGACAACGTAAGTTTTCCTGCCATTCTTCTGATAAGGATAGGTGTGATCCACTCTATACTTGTCACAGAAAAGGAACTAATTCAACATTCTACTTTCCCACTGTAGAGAAGAGTACAGGGTATTCAAAAGCAATGTTCATCTCAGAAGTGGGCATTTCCTTTGCCTGTCTCCCACAATGAGATCACCTGGTTGAAGTACCCAGTACCTAAAAATAATTTGGAAACAGGCAAAAGCTGCCCAGAACGTTTACCTCTTAAAAGAGAAAATTCAACTATAGGTTCCTAAGGGAATGCAGAAAATGGATGTTTTTATAGCTGTGCAGCACAGGGTATTCATCTCTCTCTTTGCCCATACAATCATAGAAGACAAAAGCATAACCCGCTCCTTTCATTGGAATGCATGGTCTACAGAAAGTAAGATCCCAATATCTAGGAGATGCAATGGTAGTTTATTGGAGATTGCTATGCAGGAAAGGCAAAGCTCTGATATGTCTCTAATTACATTCCCACAGTGAGTGTAAATGAGATTACAGGGAAGAATGAGGAGGAAGCTGATAATTTTCTAGCTTTTTAGATGTAGGTGATGGGAGGACATGAGGGAGGATTGATAAAAATCGGGAGGGTCTGGCCAGGTTGAATGATTCAGCTGAGAAGTAAACCTCCTTCAAGTAGTCAAATCAAATGAAAACAGTTAAAGCTCTGTAACAAAAAATGCTTCCAATTTCCTGGCTGTGCATCAAATATTTAACAGATTTTCCTTTTTGCTCAGAGCCTTAGATATTGGCCACTTGATACTAGCATTCATCTATATCCACTATTGTCAAGAGAAACCAATAGATTAAAATCTATGAAAAATCTATAGAACTAAAAAAACAAAAATGAACAACTTAAGTTTTCCTGTCATTCTTAAACTAATGTGTGTCTCTGTGTTAAATATTGTAGAGTATTCAAAATGGGGTTAAAGTCATTGCTATCTCTTGTATTATCAGTTCAGATACTGATTTACACTAAAGTTCTTCTTACCATTTGGAAGAGGCTCTTGTGAAAAAGTTGTTTGTTCTGCATTTTGAGTAGATGGTAGTTTACATGGGGGTGGTGTCTGCGTGCTTGCTGTTGAAAAATTCTGATTGTATCCTGTAGGATGCAGAGAATTCTCTTTGACATCTTGCTCCCTACGAGGTGGCAAAGGTGCATTCACTTTGAACACCTACAACAGAGGACATAATGTTATGAACTGTGCCTGTTTCATATAAACCCCAAGCAGAAGCTTTTAGTGCCCCAAATCAAACTGGGGTATCGTTCATAAAAGAAAGTGAAATGTTAACTATTTACACTGGAGAAATGGAGAAGATATTATAACTTCTAGGAAGTCTCCTGTCTAATTTGTACATCTTTTTCTCCACAATGTTTGATTAGTTTCATCTAGGGCCATATACTGGGATTTCTAATTTACTAAAGTTCTAATTTCAGTTTCAGAAACTTCAAAAATGGACTAAAGTAGCAATTTAATAATGAGTTCTAAGTAAAATGATATGAATGTAGAAAACCAGGATACCCTTCAGACTGCTTCTCTGAAAAGAAAACTTATGAAAAATAGATTAACATCTATTCAACAAAAATTAGTTTTCTAGACAAATGTCCTATATCTTATATGGAGAGCTGTTTGCTCTTTGAGAAGAGCTGCAATTATTGGCCAATATTCCTTTGTGCTGTCTAACATCTAACGACATTGTACTTACAGTCTGCATAGCCTGAAAGGGAGGTGCCTTTATATTAACAGTACTGCTACTTGGTGGAGGAGACTGAAAAACTTTCCCTTGATGTACTGGTGACATACTAGTTCTTGCTGGTGTCAGTGGTATCTGTGATTCACTTGAAAGTGGAGTAGGAACCTTGAAGAGAAGAAGCACAATCAGAGACCTTCTAGCAAGAAGCAATTTAGCTTGTTAAATCCTAAATTGTCAAACATCAGCAGTTTCTGAAATCCAAGAGTTAGATTTAAATTCTGCTTATTATCTTTAATAACCTACATTGTTATAAACATTTGGAAGGAGTTCTCTGAAGCAAAGATATATAAAAGAGCAGGCTTTTACTCAACTCCTATTCTTAATGTACTGTTTTTAAGCTTACCAGAATAACTACAGTCTTTTGTGACATAAACTGCTTGGTAATTCCTTGAGTTATGTTATACAAAAACTATGGGGAACTGAAATTCTGAAGTCCTTGAAAATGTGGAACAGATCTCTGGAGACATAATCAGATAGCCCTTTCAAAGGTGTTAAGTGTACTTAGTTGCCAAGCTAAACATGATCTTTCCTAATCAACTGATGGAGGTAGATTCTAGAGAAGGTTCATTTGAAGATATAACCAAGATGGAACTATGTACAGTCTCCATATTGCTCCTCTGAGGTAAGTTGAAAGGAATCCAAAATGATTCTATTTTTGCATTATGTTCTGCTATAATAACTACCAGGTTTTCCCCTCAATCCACTGTTAGTGCATTTTCCAATGTAAACTTTAGAACTCTGCCACGTTCACAAAAACAATTATATAAAAGAATTCCACACTGTTCCAACCACAGGCCAAATTGTTAAATATCCACACTACTATAGCATAAAAAGCTATAGTAATGTAGAAAAATCAGTTGCTTGCCTTAGAGCACCCTTCTTTAGCTATGTGGGCTGGGAATTCTGGAAATGGTGGTCAGGTCACATTTAGGGAATGGGAAATTTGTAGAACTTACACCAAAAACCTCAGGCAGAAAAAACTCTCCTTCCTGTAAGACTAGGTCAATATTTAAAGAAAGGATAATTAATATTGTATTTGGTGACATCGTACTTCTGACTCTCAAAGTGTATTGCAGAGAAAGAATGTGAATGACAGGCTCTGGGAAAAAGCTGCAGCGTGCTTCCATACTGGACTGTTTGTCTTTCTGGCAAAGGTGTACCGATATTACTGAACATTAAACTGGCCCCTCCACATTACCCAGCCATTACATCTTTTTTTCTCAAAACTAATACAGGTTGATGGAGACCTGCAAAAGCAACCCCTCATTAAAGATTGGAAATACATAAATTAGGATACAGAGAATAAAATCAGAGAGGAATTAGTAAATCTGTCTTACTTGTGGTGAATGAAGTTCAGTTTCTGATCCAGACAGTGTATTATCAGAAACTAAGGAAGTGTTTGAGCCATGCAAGGTCATGGGAGAAGAAGCATTCTGACAATAAAAGTTGATATAACACGATTAAAGCAGTTCTTTAAAGGTATAATTTGAAATATGTCAAAAAATTTGTTTCACCATTAGATGTTCACTTAGATATAACTGAAGATCTTGGGTCCAGCATAGGTTTCTAGTTTATCACAGTGAGAGGGCTGGAGAAAGAATCTTGGCTGCCTGCTTGAATGTTGTTATGCAAGTTCTCCTCTTCCTTCCTTCCTCAGCACTATCCTCAGTTATATATAAGGTGGCGGATAACTGAAGGCTACTTTTTTGGGAAGAATGACTGTCGTTTTGCCCAATCACAGAAAATATTCCATCACTGATAATGTTTTATTTTCTCGCTTAATCTAGTTGTCTAAGGGCTAAACCCACCTTCCTAATGACTCTTGATAGAAACTAAATTAGGTCTTCATCATTCTACCTGTTATGCTATTTTATAAATAAGATTAAACAGGAGGTGTTTTAGAAAATAAATGCTGAATTCCATTTATTCAGGTCTCCCTTGGGATTAGATTGCTTTAGAAGATTAGACATTTTTCACAGGAGGACAAACCCTAATCCTAACCTGAGAAAAACAGCAAGGATACAGGTAAGGTATGTGTGCTTTTTTCCCCTATTGTCCTTCAAGGGACTAGCTACTTTTTCCTGACACAGAAACATAATTTTAGCCTGGTACATAATGCACAAGAAGTAGAAATAAATCCTGAATCAAACAAACTTTATAATAAAATATTTGCAAGTTGACATCTTTCTTGAGAAATAACAACTTCCAATCTTACCTGCACTGATTGTTCAGGGAAGTCTATTTGGCTTGAAAGTTGTTCATTAGAAGCTAAAAATAAGAATTTGGTCATAACCATTTCAAATAAATGAAGAGAAAACTCAGCTGGATAGTTCTGTATTAGGTAATATTGTATTACCGTCTTTAGGTAGAAAAGGGCTGACAGCTATATTTACATTTAACCTTATTGAGTTGCATCTCAGTAACTAATTGGGTCAAAGACAAAGTTTCAAAGTCTTTAATTTGAGATCAAAATTAGAGATATCTCCAAATGTTTCATTAGTACAAACTTAGCTGCAGTACATTTTTTTTACATGCCCACAATAATTTCTTCAATATGTTGATATAATTTAAATATAGCTTTGATATTTTTTTATTTCAATTAATGTTGAAATAGAAATTTTGGGCAAAGATAAATATTCAAAATTAGGTTTACATATTATATTCCATATTTCCAAGATATACCATGAAGGACTGCTAGCTTGGTGTCAGCCAATGTTTTTAGCCAAACAGAAAACAAAGTTTTCATACAAATAATTCTACTTTTTACTCACAAAAAAGTCAGAACTTCAATTACAAGACATCTTTATCATAACCATAATCAATCATTTGAAATTAGAAGATGGATGTTAGGCAGCTGTTTTAAGTTATTTTATTGCTTTACTGTTTTATCTCCTTATAATGTATTTCTTTTTATTTATTTAAATGTATTAAATATAATTACCTGGAGAATCAACAGAAGGGGCTTGTGATGAACAGTTAGCACTTTGTGAAGGTTTATCAAAATCCAGAAGTGATTCCTTAAAGACAAAAGAGTTATCCTTTTGAACAATATGTGTGCGCGCCTGTGTGCCCCCCCCCCCACTTATTTATGGCCAAAACACCCAAACAGAAAAATACAGATATAATCTAAAATTTTGGCATTAAATAGTTTAACAAATGAAATAAATTGATAAATATTACATAAAATATTTAAAACTTATTAGTGTGTTACTGAACACCTTGTTTTTATAGCCATAAAAAAACTGGCTGTTGCCACTGTAATTTTAGGATCTTAATTCGCAGGTAAAATTTTAACACATTCAGAAATATTTCTTCCTGATTTTAAAATAGTCCAAATAAAATGCTGCCGAAAAATTCACAATGCAATAAAATAAGATCCATCTTTTCACGGTCAACACCATTACAGGGTGAATATCTTTGAGACACGTGAATTTTTAGAATCTACCATATGGCATATTTGATGTATTCATAGATAGACATGGCTTCAAAATTGTAATATTGAAGTAATTCTTCCTTTATATTCCTACCTTTCCAGGTTCCTCATCAACTCTCAGCACCTCCAATGTTAATCAATAAACTTACCTGCATGAAATTGTAAGTCCCCTGAATTTGAGTCATCAAATCTTGCAATTTTTCCCTTCTTAGTACTGGATCCTTTGGAAGGCTAGAAGTAGAGCAAAACTCTGCAGCTGGTTGGTGCACAGGCTTAGCTACCTAATACAACAGAAAAAGGCAAGCAGCAAGGAAGGGCATGTAATTACACAGAGCATTCAGCTCTTCTCTGCTGAAATCAGGGGTTCCTAAACTTTTTGCCATCACACTTCCTTTTAGTGTAATCTTAATGTAATACACCTCCCCTAAAAATCCAAACACCAAAGTGAACATAAATGAACAATGAAAACAGTACAATGAAACTCTGGGAAAGGTGATTTATTGTAACAATGTATGGCTAAAAGGTTCTTCATACCTTCCCTGGACCCCAAGGGAGGTACATCTCACAGTTTGGGAAACCCTGAGTTAATAATGTTGAAACCATTCTGTAAAAGATATTTTCTGAAAATGTGCCTCACATTCTAAACACTTTAAGCTAAAATCTCATCGTTACCGGAGGGAAATATCATATTAAACAAAGCAGGACTTACTTCTGAGTAAACATGTCTAAGTAGGCTCAAACTTTAAATTCAAGTGCTTGAAATACCATTTTCAGAATTATCTACTAAATATATCATTTTTCATTTTAACAGCAAAACCTGATCCATTTCCCTAAGTGACCTCTTTCATACTGAAAATCAGTGATTTCAGATGGTGATGTTTCCAGTATAGAATTGCTGTGGGGATTATGAATTTATTCCCCAGACATTCAGAATCTGAACAAACGTATCTTAGCAAGAACAACATTCTTTTAAGTATTCTACCAAAAGATCTGGAGAGAGAGAGCAAGTGCACCATAATTAGATAGCCCATTAATGACTATTTAAGGTTTACCTTTAATTTGCTACTCCAAGACTTTTTGTTTAAAATCTACCAAAAATCAGTACTATTTAGCAACATAATTTAAGGACTACCGTATATACTTGCAAATAAGCTGAGAATTTTAGGTGCCAAAATACACCCCCAAAATTGGGATCAGCTTGTCCATGGGTGGGATTATCCATGAGTATATATGGTAATACTTTTTAAAAATACAGTACTTGTATATCACGGATATACTCATGTATAAACCCATCCGCAGATAAGCTGACCCTTGAATTTTTAACCAAAATACTATGGGAAATGGATAATCTGTAGATTAGCCACAGATAAACCAATTGTGAAAATTAAAACATACAAAAATTTCGAGGGCCAGCTTATCCGCGGGTGGCGCATTTTTCATGGTATTAAATTCAAGGGTTGGCTTATCCACAGATGGGCTTATCTGCAAATATATACGGTATTCATATCATCCTGGATAAGGATAGCTAGATCTGTGTGATTAGTTACAACTTAAGCAGATTTAATACTGAACACTGCAAGTATAATATTACTGTGATATTCTAATGAAAGAGAAATTAAAGCAGTGTTAGGTTTGATGCAAGTCACAAGAAGGCAAAGCACACAATGAAACAAAGCAACAAAGCTGTATTTAATAGGACTATGCACATTTTAAAAATTATTTGGAAGAAGCATGAACATGGCACCTTGCTGTTACTTATTACAGCAGCTGGACTTTTTAAAGTTTTTTTTTTTTAATGCAAGGCTGAAGGAGACACTGTTTAAAAAATCAAATTAAGGAGGAGACTCACTCATAATGCATGATAAAGAAAATGTATGCAAATTTAAGGAGAAAAACAGGAGTAGTAACAATGAAGTAACTCTGATTTATCTAAATCACAGAACAAAGCTAACTCAGTATCTGGATGATAAACAAGGGTTTGTTACTGATCAAGCCAAAATTTAAAATCCATGCTGATTAAAGAAAAAATGCCTTTCTCTATATAGTTAGTCCTCATTTAGCAACTGCCTCATTTAGCAAACTTTACAACCAATCCTTGCATTTACAACCTTCGCACGTCTGTAAAACAAAGGAAAGCTGAAGTAAGGTCATAAGTATAATAGCGGTTTCACTTAGTGACACTTGGCTTAATGACCAAGTTGTTGGTCCCAACTGTGGTTGCTAAACGAGGACTACTTGTATTACTTTGTTCAAGAAAAATAGCTATCAATGGTCTTGACAAGTGAATTTCAAACAGTGAACATAAAAGCCTTGCACCTGTCACAATACTAAAGGTTCAATGTTTATATTACATTCAAATCTATATGCACAGTTATATTCAAATATATGTGCACAAAAAACATTTCAGACACTGTCCAAAATTATCTGACATTTTGGCAAAAGGATACAAAGTATCTTATAACCAATATCTTTTAGCTCAAAATTAATTTCATAGGAAATTTTAAATTCAACAGTAATACAGTGGTACCTCGAGTTACGAACGCCTGTGCTTACGAA